GCCGCTATCAGTGAGCTCCTCCCCGGCTCTGCCCTCAAATGCTCCGTGGCCAAAATCCAACTGAAGACGAAGCTGGAGTTCCTAGAAAGGGCCCAAAAGTATATTGCGATTGAAGAGACCTTGGCCACGGATGCCCATGAGAGGGGCACGGAGCACCGGACAGAGCCCCCGAGAAGAAGAGCAAAAACGGGGACCAAAGCCACAACAACAACAACAATAGAAAGCCTTCGACCCCAGCCTTGGCTTATAATCAATACATGCCACTCAACTCCACCCGCACGCAGATCTTGATGCAGATTGGGTAGGAGAAATTTATGAAGTGGCCCAAAAAGTTGAGGAAAAACCCCCGTCGGGGGAATCCTAAAAAGTACTACAAGTTTCATCGAGGTATGGGCCACGACACTAAGGACTGCTACAATCTCAAAAATGAGATAGAGTCTCTCATTCGTCGAGGCCACCTCAAGCAATACGTTGGAGGAGAGGTTGGCGCCTCGTCCTCTCAACAACAGCAATAGCAACACCAATAAGCAGCAGGCATCATCGATGTCATAGTGGAAGGCACGACTTCGGTGGAGCCTCCGCTTCGGCTCGCAAAGCCTACGCCAGGCAGTTAAACATCCAAGGGCCGACCCCCAAGAAGCAAAAACAAGAATCCCTCTCCTTTACGGACGAGGACCTGAAGGGGGTAGTAGTCCCCCATGACGACGCATTGGTGGTTTCGGCCATCATTGCGAACTTCGTAGTCAAAAGGATCCTTGTAGATAGTGGATCCTTAGCCGATATCCTTTTCTATGAGGCTTTTGAAAAGATGAAGATAGCTCTGGAGCGCCTCCAACCAGTAGATGCCCCACTAGTCGGCTTCTCCGACAGCATCGTCAAACCAGAGGGCAAGATTTCCCTACCGGTCACAATAGGGACAGAGCCCCAGTAGGTGACAAGGATGACAGAGTTCCTAGTCATGAAGATTGGCTCACCCTATAACGCTATAATGGGGAGGCCAACCCTTCACGCACTTTGGGCAGCCATTTGTTCCTACCACCTCGCCTTGAAGTTCCCTGCCGAGCGTAGCGTCGGGGCCGTTCGTGGGGACCAGCATGCCGCCCGTCAGTGCTATATGGCAACACTCAAGGGCAAGAATAAAGAAGATCTGCCACTAGAGGGTATCAACCTCAGGGAGGAGCCAGCAAGCCGAAGCCAACCGGCCGAGGACCTTGTCTCGATCCCCTTAGATGAGCATGAACCCAACAAAACAGTCTGCGTCGGGTCCAACCTTCCCCCAGAGAGCCTATCTGAACTGGTAAGATTCCTCAAACTCAATGCCGACGTCTTTGCTTGGTCCGCCGCTAACATGCCCAGAAATGACCCTTTGGTCATTACATACAGGCTGAACGTGGACCCGAGCTCTAGGCCAGTTCGACAAAAGAAGAGGAACTTTGCACCAGAACGTTGAAAGGCCATAGAGGAGGAAGTTGAAAAGCTACTCGACGTCGGCTTCATCCGAGAGGTACACTACCTTAACTGGTTTTCAAACGTGGTTATGGTAAAGAAAGCTAATGGGAAATGGCGAATCTATATTGATTTCACAGACCTTAACYGAGCTTGCCCCAATGACAGTTTTCCTTTGCCGAGGCTAGACCACCTTGTTGACGCCACTGCAGGGTACGAGCTGCTCAGCTTCATGGATGCTTTCTCCAGATACAATCAGATAAAGATGCACCCAGATGATGAGGAGAAAACGTCATTTACCACCGAGCATGGCACATACTGCTACCGTGTGATACCCTTCGGCCTCAAGAATGCTGGGGCCACCTACTAGCGCCTTGTCAACAAATTGTTCAAAGAGTAGATGGGGAGGAACATCGAAGCCTATGTGGATGACATGGTAGTAAAGAGCATGAGGGCTGAGATCCACGTCTCAGACCTAGCTGAGACCTTTGAAACATTGCGGAAGTATAACATGAAGCTTAACTCCAACAAGTTTGCCTTTGGTGTCACATCAGGAAAATTCCTAGGTTTCATCGTCACTCAGAGATGCATTGAGGCTAATTCTGAGAAGATACAGGCTATACTAGATAT